CCCCACCCCCACCCCAAACCTTGCTCCTCCCTCCCTTTCACTTTCTTTAAAAATCAATCGGAATAATATCCTCCAGTGAGGATTAAAAAAAAATTTTTTTTTAAAGAAAAACTGTCCAACTGCACTTTCAGAAACATGAGAGTTTTTAGGCCTCCAGTCCCACTCCACCCTTACCTAGGACCCACCTTCATCCTCTGCTCCACAATGGAGAAGATTCGCTCTACCCCAATGCTGAGCCCCACACACGGCACCTTGTGGCCTTTGGGGTTAAACATGCCCACCAGCCCATCATAGCGCCCACCAGCAGCCACACTGCCCACATTCAAGGGCTCTTCCTCAGCAGGAGCTGGGGTCTGCAGCAGCACTGCTTCATAGATCACTCCTGTATAGTAGTCCAAGCCCCGAGCCAGGCTTAGATCAAAGCAGATCTGTGGGAACAAGGCTACAGTCAGTCCTAGACAAGACTCAGGACCCTGAGAACCCCAGAGCTCAGCAGGAGGTCCATACCCAATTCAGCTTACCTTCTCTGCGATTCCAAATAGAGTCAGATATTCAAGGAGCAGCTTTAGATCCCCCAGGCCCTCTAGGGCCTGCTTGCTCTGAGATAATCTGGGATCCTGGAACATTTGCTCTACCAAGGACAGCCCACCTGGGAGACATGTGGGGAGAAATAAGGTCTGTGCTCTTCACCCAGATGTATTTCATCCAAATTTATCTCTAGTGTGTTCTAGGTAGTCCTCCTCATTTTCTTTTTATTTTTTAAATGTTTTTATTGATTTTGAGAGAGAAAGAGGAAGGTAGAGGGAGAGAGAGAGAGAAACATCAATGAGAGAGAAATATCAATCTGCTGCCTCCTGTATGCCCTGTACTGGGGATTGAGCCCACAACCCGGACATGTGTCCTGACCAGGAATCAAACTGGTGACCTCTGGGTCCATGGGTCAACACTCAACCACTGAGTCACACCAGCTGGGGGCTCCTCATTTTCACTAAAAAAAAGATACTGATCTCATATGACCAGACTCTCCTCCTCTGCTTCTACCTTTGCCATCTGAAGACATAAGGTGGTTACAATAAAAAAAAAAAGGGGGGGAATTAAATTCAGACAGGCTCTAGAGCTTAGCACATCTACAGAAAGGAGCTTCTTC